TAAATCCAGGGAAAGAAAAGGAGACCTAATTTACAAACTTTCGTCTTTCATACAAGAGTGCACGTGCTTTTCTCCGTCAGCTCAGTAGTAAACATAGACAACATAGGGATCCTTAATTTAGTGTGATTAACAGCCGGCAAAAACGTTTGGGATTTAACAGGAGACGGATCGTAAACAAAAAACTATGCTTTTTTCTGCATGCCATTCCTAGTTTTTACTGAAATGTTGTTAATTAGCGATAAACACAATGCTCTGTTAATACCACCGTAAAGTTTGTAGGCTAGGCTATTAGCTAGTGATCTAGGAAATGTGTATGCTGCTGAAAGGACTTTGCAGGTGTGGTCCTGTGGTGTCGCAGGGGCAGTTCCGAAGTTGTTTGCGAGCGATTTCCCAAAGATTAATTGTCATTCTGTGATCTAAAATATTGTGCCAGTGCTCGTGAATAAGAGTGGCCGTGTCCAAGTGACTACTTTGTAGCTAATTGTCGTGTATAACACCATGGGGGGGGTCATATTAAACCCTATCCTAGTGGTGCCCGGTGATACTGACTCAGTTAAAACGGTCGTAGAATGAATAAATACAACAGCACGGTATTTCCCACCTAGTAAAGAATCGGAATTAACAGTGATTAAATTGTAAGATTATCAATAACTATCACTTCAAAAAAGATATAATAAGATAAAAGAACTGATCGATACACGGTCACTCTGGGGGAATGCGTGACGAGCCACAGTAATTAAATTATTTTAATTGACGTAAACATACCTTCTTCTGATGCTTCTTCCTCGTAAAAGAAACAGACCAAAGGGGATTTTAAGTCATACAGTATATCGTTCGTGTTTTTGCGTGGAAAGGAGACATATTTTTCCCTTAAAAAATATGACATACAAGTATCATATTTCCTGTCAATTTGTTGAAACAACCCATCTAAGGCTAATTTGCATACGGAGAATGCCGTCATGTTCGTCGTCGACAAGAAAAAAACCAAAGAAAAAGCAATTACCAATTTTTCTTCACATGTTTTCGAAAGTCTAACATTTAAAGGGTCTAATGACATTTGCTGATAACTAGAAACGTTAAAGCTGTGGAAATTAGTCGATCCGATGCAGACCGTTACAATTTCAGTTTTGCTGTCAAAATGGCGAAGTTTGGAATATTAACGCAACTTTGTACAGCACGCAAAGAAGAGTGCCCACAAATTTTACTGCATTAAGAAGTAGACTGGTCTTAGTACTTCTGTTTTATCATAGACTTGAGTCTGGGTCAGGTGCCACTTTTGCGAAATTACCGTTTAGTTCTAGTTATGCAAATTAATTTTCTCGATAAGCTAAAAAAAAGGTCATTTTAAAAAAATCATATCTCAGCCAACTTTCCACAGAATGCAACCATTAAACCTTGAAACTATTAATCAGAGTTAAAACATTTGTGTGTAAAATAATCATCGTATTCGGCTTTGTAAGGCAGGTTTGCAAGAGCCCTAAGGTTTCACCAAAATCGCACCACTTCTGACGGCAAACTGTCCAGTTTTAGGTGACCGACAAAATCTTCTTGTAATATAGAGAAAAAATTGAGTTGGTCCAATTAAATGTGATATTTCTTGATGGGATAGGATGGTTATCTTTTACTGGGAAAACCAGGGCAATCTGTGATAGACCGAAATTTGCCTTATCGGTTCTTACGCGGACAGCCTCTTAAGTGGCAAGTTTAATTTCCCTCCCTTGTTCACAGGATTTTTCTCTTAGCGCCACATTTTAAATACATTTAGCCAGAAAGACGTGCTTTTTACTTTTTTCGGGTTTTTGGAATATTTTTTAACTGTTCTATTGTTGTTTTCCATGCAAAATCAAATTATTAATTGCTGCAAACCTTGTCCATTTTTTAAATTTTTTTAGTGAAAACAGCTTTAAATTGATTGGTTCTCGTAGCTTTCTTTATTTTTTCAGCCAATCATAAACCATTTGTCATTTGCACCCGTATTAAAAATTTGCACTTCGGTGCTTCGGTAATTCCTACGTATTTTTTAGCTCCCTTGAAGAAAGTTTCCTTTCTTGTTAGGTCAAGTATTGTGCTGTTGCCTTTTACCGCAATGGAAGTAGGAAAAGAGCGGATCTAAGTTATTTTTAATTTCCTTTGAGCCCCATAGAACGGAAGAAGGGGATAAAATATTCAACACTCTTTTCGATCCTACAATTTGTTCTGTTCGTTTCAAGAAAACTGACATGGAAACTTCTATTTCTGGTCGTAAAAATGCCCGTTCAGGCTGCTGTCCCAGTATCTTTGACCCTACTACATCGAAGAAGACGAACAGTCGGCGTGGAAGGCGTCTTGCCAATCGAAAGAGATGGTCACGCGAAGCTGAACAACCACAAGCCAAGAAGTTTTGTGCAAAAAAGCTAAACCCTAGTATTTAATGTTCTTTGTGTATGGTTGAATTAGCCCTAAGGTGAAATTGAAACAAGCAAGGTTTGGTAAGCCAGTGTAAAATTTTACAGATTCAGTGTTAAGCTCTCTTTTGAGATCCTTCTTGCTTTCAACTTTTTCAGTAAGAATTTTGTATTGCCTCCTGCACTCTTCCACCTCAGATACTAGGTTGTCTATTTCGTCGGCTGCCAAGTCTGTTTGGGACGCCACAGAAGATTTACCTTCAGGAATCCCACCAAACATGGTGTTGTCTATTCGTGGTCGCTCAAATACGAGTGATCGTGCTGAACTGCTGTCACATTAACACTCCACTTAACGAAAGTGACTGTGGTGTCCTTCTAAATGAAGGAAACAGCAAAGAAAATTCAGTTAGCGACCAGAGTGTTTATCCGATATCGCGAACAACAAGGGTGTTCTTTCACGGAGTGACTGAAGATGTCTGCTCTGCAGTTTAATGTAAAATCATTCACCACGCTCACGGACCTTTCGACAACATAAGTGTACCGATTGATGTAATATCAGTGGTAAAAAACGAACTCTTTATACTATAGGACGATCACGTCATCGTACAAAGGGCGTCTTCACTCTGACATCCTCAATTTCTAACCGTCAAAACCTAATTTTCTCTGCTCGTCCACTCAAAAAGGCCTTGAAGACAAGTAGTGGAAATGTTCTTGTTAGTAAGACGTCCACAAGCTGTGCCCATCGCACATAATCTTGTCTGGGCTGCCTTGAAGAATTGCACTTGATCAGAAGCCCTCAATTTCATCCCCCGCCGTGACAACTACATGATCTATTTTAATGGATGGTTTTCTGGAACTATCCTATGGCTTTTCCTTTCTGGTATTCAGTTTATTAGCGAGCACGTTTCAATTTCTCTCCAGAAAAAGTCTCTATCAGGAGCGTAGCCAGGATTTTCCAGGTGTGAGCACAATTTTCAAAACTTACCTTAACTTCTTACTCAGTTTCGGCTTAACGTTTCCCCATTACATTTGGTAATTCTGTTAATTAGGTGAGGTTATGCGTGGATGAAATGGCACTTGCAATCGGTGAGAAAATTAGGTTAGACACTTTGCCCTCAAGGACGACTCTGACGTTTGGCTGACACTTTCTACCTTAGAAGGGAAAAGTGAAGCTTTGCTTTCCCCACTCCGTGTAAACTATGTCGTTCGGCTGTTCAAACTACTTTTAGAAAACAACAAACTACTTAACTTGGTGTCAAATGTTCTTCAAAATGTACACCATGCAAATGGAGTGTTTTTCCCTGACCGTCCAATTTGTACCAAATTTGTGTACCTTTTAAGTACCGAAAAAGTGCTGTGAGAAGTTATGGCCGTTCATAGCTCAGGCTTAACCATTTTCAGATACGAGTAGGTAAAAGAAAGGAGGAACGATAGTTCTTTGCAACTGTATGAGTCACGATTAAGTTATTTTAACGATAAGGCTAGAATTAATTATTGTAAACCTCCCTCAGTTTACCAACATGGCAGCCCCTCGAAGCCTTGTCAGAACTGTCCGTCCTGTATCTTTGAAACCAAAGAGAATTCGTACCTTAGAATATGCATTAATTATTTAGGACGCCATTCTAAGACTACTTGCCAAAACTCAGCCAAATCGATGAGGTACCGTGTCAGGCTGAAGTTCGAATTTTACAGAAAATCACCTCTAACTATCTACATGTATATTTCGCGAAACCCTGGTCCTTCTCCAGCAAGTTCCCTGGGCTTGAAGGAAAATTGTATACGATCTGATTCTCCACGCTCCATTTCTTTCATCGACTCGCACATTGTTTATTCAAAGGGTCATCTATACTCTCTCAGAAAAAGCGCTATATCACAAACCCTAACGCCTACTGTAATATCTATTCTCAAGAATCTTGGTTTGTTTCGTGCCCTCGGAAAGAGAGCTGGTAGGCCTGTTCCCCTGAAGAGAGCAAAGCAATCGAGAGTAATTTCTGTTATTATTAATTCCCGGCCGACTCATGCGTGGAATGTTAATTTTAACTATACAAGATCCCGAATACTTAGACCTGTTTCAGCTTTGCCTTCACAGCCTAGAATCATTCCCCGCTGCACAGCCTAGAATCATTCCCCGCTGCATGGTAATGAACACAAGATCTGTTGCTAAAGTGGACGCCTTTCCTGCCGTTGCTGCTGAGTTGATGACAAGTAACTGCGACCTGTGCTTTTTGACTGAAACTTGGCTCAAACCTATACACCCAACTCACATTGTTTGCCCCAGTGGATTTTGTATGATTCGTAAAGACAGATAGGATCGTGGTGGAGGTGGCGTCGCTATCATTTGCAGAGAAGATTGGAAAATCGAACGACTCGATGGTCTTTTTTTCCAGTGATTTTGAATGTTTATGGCTAAGGGTTTCGACTCCTAATTCTGTCTATTATGTATGTGTTGTTTACCACCCTGATGAGTCCTTGTACGATCAAGAGGAACTGTTGAACTTTCTCACGGCTCCTTGTGAGCATTCAATAACCGTGGATCCGAATTGTAAAATCATTATTGCCGGGGATGTTAATCAGCTAAAATACAAGGATTTACTTTTACATGCTTCGCCGTCTCAGATGGTTAAAAAGCCCACCAGAGGAGAAAATATTTTGGACGTTTTTATGACCAATACTCCTTATCTGTGGGAGAAGGTCAAGTGCCACAACATGGTTATTGCATGTCCACGAACATCTGCTGAGGCTAAACGTAGCACCATACAGTTTAGAGATGTCAGAGAACATAGGAAATTTCATATAGCTTATATGCTTGAAGTTATTATTGACAAGAGGTCTTTTCTGTTATTGATTGTGAATTGAAATGTGACGAGCTACCTAATACCCTTTGGACCATGTTTTAGGAGTGTTTCCCGCTGATTTCTGTTCGTACATCCTCTAGGGATCCTCCTTTCATTTCGCCATTGGTTAAACATCTTTTGAAATTTAGGAATAGGCCGCAAAAGAGATCCAAACTGCTCCCTGTTGGCCTTGAGAACAGAATTAACCATCTTATTGGGGAAAATCAACGACAAGCTGTCAAGCAGGAATCTTGCATGTCTGGCAGGGCTCGCGTGCTTGGTGGTCCACTGTCAATACCATCACTGGAAGAGATACTCAGCCCCAGTTGATTAACTCAGTCATTCATTCAGACACCATTAATGAATACTTTTGTAGCATGAACTCAGACCTTGAATATGTAGCCCCTGCACTAATTGATATCACTGATGATGCAAGAATTCCTGAAATACCTCTTCATGTTGTTACACATTTCCTTTCTAAGCTCAAGATAGATAGATAGATAATCTTTATTTATCCACGGTACAAAATTCGTCAGCTTTAAAAATGCCTAATACTAATATAATAAAAATATTTAAATAAAAAAGCTGCTTTCCACGAATGCTGTGCCTTACAGGTCTTTGAGTAATCGTTTAAATTGCCCAAGGGACTCTGCTTCCCTTAAGTTACAAGGAAGACTGTTCCAGAGAATGGCGCCACTATAGCTGAAGCTGTTTTTGTAATAGTTTGTGCGCGGTAATGGAACATTGAGTTTATTTTCAGATTCCCTTAGGTTATATGCGACTTCTCGCCTTTCAGATTTAGAACTAAGATAGTTTGGAGCCAACCCGTGCAGAGACCTGTAAACCATCGTAGCTCTTTGAATTTGTTGCTGGCAAGCTAGGTTTATCCACCCTAGAAGTTTGAAAAGGTGACCAGTATCTACGCCATAGCTTGAGTAGGTCAAAACACGGGCTGCTCTGTTTTGTAGCTTTTGAACCTTATTCCGTAAAGTTAGCTGCTTGTGGCCCGGATGAGCTCCCATACTGACTTTTTTAGAGATTTTGCCCATTATCTTGCCCCTGCTGTTACCGATGTGTTTAACAGCTCTCTCCGACAACATAAAGTTCCATCCTCTTGGAAGATGGCAGACATCAGGCCTCTACCTAAGGAGTCTCCACGGACTAGCTGTACCCAGCTTCGACTAATTTCTTTCACTGCCGTTATCATGAGACTTTTTGAACGACTGGTCAATAAGTTTGAACTTTCCAGTATTTCCAATGATTATATCGATTTAGATCAGTTTGCCTATCGTGAAGGCCATAACTCTACCATGGCATTAATTAAATGCCAACATACATGGTTAAAGTGTCTTGATGGTGATGCCGATTTTGTCAGAATTTTTTCCTTTGACTTTAGTAAGGCTTTCGACTCTGTATCACACAATATCCTCTGTAGTAAATTGAAGCAAGTTAACATTAATCCATATATTAATTGGCTTATTAGCTATTTTTCGGGGCATGCACGTAGTAGTAGCGGCAGGGCCTAGAATACTGCTAACAAACAGCCCAGGTTGAGATTTCATGTCAGAAATAGGTCTTGCATGTGCAGGTAGCAATGAAGCAAGTAGACAAATTAAGTAAAAGTAATGCTTAATTTTATTGTTTCTGCCAAAACTTTTATTTTTTCAGATCTGACTCATTGACTCATTTGACTCATAAAACATCCGTTCTCGTTCAAATTTAGTCAAATGTTCAATTTGCGTTGCGTGACAGTATCGAAGAAAAGAAGACTTGTCGAACGCAAAAAAATTCGGCCTGATTTCTTTTCCAGGCCTAATTAATCTACGGTGGTCAAGAGCCATCATGGCTCTTAAATGTGATCGAAGATGATTGCTATTTTTTGGGTGTACACATGAGGCTATCAGCTCGATCCAAGATTTGGTTCCCTCTTGGGCTGTATGCAAATTGTTTTTCTCTAAAATCACTTAACCTTTCCCTCACAAGTCACATGAATGTGCTCTAAAGTTCACTGAATTGTGGAATACGAGTTTATTGTTTGATTCAAATTATGAATTTATTAATGGGAGTCTCGCTTTTAGCCCTGGCTAAATCTATATATCATTATTGTTGTTATCAACATTATCATGATCTAAAAGACACAACGAGAGAGTGATGGGAAAAATTGGGGTTGCATGAAGGCACAATAATCTAGTTAGGGTTAAGTATCCTGTTCAAATAATGACAAATTTATCGGGGTTAATTCGATTTTATTGCTAATTTTGATCGGTCCGATGTTTGGCCCTCATACTGTGGTTCTTCAATTAAGTTTTCTGCCCTCTGTTACACAAGTCTCACTTCAAATGCCTTGTCTTTTTGCTTCTGTCATTGCTTTTTTGAAAACATGGGTCCCACACCCGTGACGTTTTTTCTAAGATCCCGCTTAATACGGACAATATGGCATGTCACCTTGGTTTACGTTTTAACCGGATTCCAACTGGACTTTCATTTGAGGGAAAGGCAAGAAATGTATATGTCAGGACAATCCATGCAAGGCTGCCAAGTATAAAATATTGAATTGAGACAGTTTTAAATAGACTGAGCTATTGTTAGTACCGTGAAGTTCTATTGTTATTCGAAGAACAGCGAAATGTTGTGGGTGTCTGAGCAGGAACAATAACCAGGAAAAAAGTTATACACAGGGGATTTCTTGATTGACACCCGACGTTTTTTTCAATGGCCGGAGCGCGTTTTGAGGTCGCGGGGGTTCGATTCCAGAGATCAGACCAATAGCCCAGAGCTAGGTTCTTAAAAAATAACTGAAATAAAAAGAGGAAAAGAAGCCTAGAAATCGCCAGACGTTCGCGTTGCTCAGTTGACAGAGACGTAAAAATAGGGTCCTCAATAAGCACATTCGTGCAAAACACATTGATGCTCAAAGTAAAGTGTATTTTTAAAATTACACTTGTATTTGAGTCTCTTTTCTCCACAAGCAAAAAAACCCATAATAATCCCGGAACATCTCGATGATTTCATAGTATTGTTAACTAAGCTTGGGTGCATCTTTGCTTCTTATCATTTATGACAGGTGGTTCATGGTCAAATTGGGAAGCTTGGGGAGCCTGCAGCGTAAGCTGTGGGGGTGGACGTCAAACTCGCAAGCGCACTTGTCTCTTCTTTTCATGCGGTGGAGGAGAGTCTAGAGAGAATCGATTCTGCAATACAAAGAACTGTCCAAGTAACACGTAACACGTGCTGAATTTTTAAGTAGAACAAAATACAAATACAACGTAAAGACCATTAAAGAATGATAGCTGAAATGAAAGTTCCTCAAGGGTTTGCAAGGTCTAAAGGGTCTCAAGGGCTGTTTCCAAAAAAGGGTTTCTGGCAAAGAAGAAGAAAGAAAATATTCTGGGCAGTCACCTTAGAGAGTCGAAATTGACTCACGTTAGAATAATATGCTCTCCCCATATGCTTTTGCTTCTATTTTGTCACGTTTCATGGATAGTTGTCCATCGTTGCCACAACAAGACAACTACAACTTTTTTTAACAACTGCCACGAATCTGAAAAGTGTTTCAATTTTTGAAAAAAATGTTTTGCTTGTCAGTTTGTCCAATTTAGAGGCTTTCTGATATCTTATACCGCGAAGGTCTCAAGCGTTAAGAAACGTTTTCAAAGCGTGGTGATCTTCATTCCTATTTTTCCAATCACATGGAGTTCTTTGAGGATCGTAAAATGATGATTTTTATGATTCATTCTAAAAGTTGGAAACAAAAATCGGTAAAATTTTGTTACGTTTTGTTTTGTCCATTGAAGTTAATGGCGGTTGGAGTCAGTGGAGTGAATGGAGTTTTTGTACTAAATCAGTGGATGGCTTGCAAACCAGGAGCAGAGACTGTGTCAACCCTAAACCAAAATATGGGGGCGACCGCTGCCATGGAACCAGGGTTGTTGTGAGGAAGTGCGGAAACACACAAACGTGCCAAAAAGGTAAGCTGATCATATTCTCCCTCGGCCATCTACTGCAAAGCTTTTAAGAGTGGTTGTTAGAGAAAACCGGGCAAAATGTTAAAAGTGTCAACGGAAGGAGTTCAACAGAATAAGTTCATACTAACATCATAGACAGGTCTGGTGGAGTAATGGACAGATATACCAAACATAGGTTCTTCACTGCTCATGCATTAGAGATTCGAGCATCACTTTATTCGACCCCTTCGGACGCCATTTTTATAAGCAAATTTTCACCATTTTCTGAAACTCACAGAACCCTCAAGATTTAACAAGCGAAGTCTATTTTTTGTATGCGATTCAAAACAACACAGAACTACTTTCTAAAACCATACAATTTGTTAAGTAGCCAAGGGCAAGACTAAAATTTTCCTATTTCATCTGACCTCAACTCAGTGTCTGCAACCAAGCCAAAAATCGAGTATTTTTGAAGTGATCTACAGCGCACAACTAAAACAAAAGAACAACTCTGATAACCAAATTGCAGTCTACTATCATCCATGTAACCAAAACACTAATACTCATTACTTTATTCAGTCTTCATTCACCCTTCATTCACTTCATTTTGAGTTATCCCGTATAGGTCTTAGCGTTTCTTTGGACTCTTTATTGTATCATCCATTATTGCGTCAGTCTTCAATCACCCTCCATGTCCGAAGGTCCACTCATCTCCTGTTATTTCATGATGCACTTTTCATAATCCGGAAGGCTTCGCCCGAAGGGTACCTCTTTCAATCATCAGGTCAAACAAAGGGTAGGAAAATCACAAGTTGAAGGCTGTGAAAGGAGAGGAAAATCTTTCATTAAGTATTTTAAAGGACCTTTTATTAAAATGCTTCGCAGAGACACGCCTTATGGTAATACCACATTCATGTAGCTTTAGACTGCGAGCAGTCTCTTATTTTTTTGCCTAATTACTGCACGCGAAACCCAAGCAAGTGAGCGGCGAAGCCGCGAGTCGCGATAAACGAGGGCGTACGCGCGAGAAGAAGATTACCGCTTGGTTGATAATTGTTCGTAGTTAGTTGTGACGCGTGACTACCGTATTTCCTCGAGTAATAGCCTTCCCTCGATTAATCGCCTCTCTCCGATAATCGCCCCCCTTTGATGGAAATATTTGAAATAATCACCACCCTCGAGTAATCGCCCCTCCCCCTCTCTCCACCTTGTCTTTCTTTTATCCCCTCTCTGTCAAGTTGAAGGGGAATCTGATCCACCAAAACTGATCAGTGACGATTCAAACGCTGAAAATTTATCAACCAAATTTGGAACACTTTAAAAGCCCTTATTCAGTTTACTTGATGTGATAATGTTTTGATTTAATGGGATAAAACACTAATAATT